CATAAAGTTTCTATTTGTATTTATTTCTATTTGTATAAATGCATGAAACCACTTTCTCCCTTATACTGAGTACTACCAAGTACTATCGCATGTCACTACTCTTTTTCTCCTTGACACTGAATAACCTTCATCTGCAACCTTTTATATGCACGAACAAAACAATAACATAGAGGAAACTTCTTTCATTGAATCAAAGAAAACACAACTGTAAAGCACTGACGCAAAAATGTGTTTTGTGACTGAGTATTTGCAAACTCTTTCTGTATTTCACGTGAATGAATATCAGTGTTCAACGGTCAAAAATTATAACACAAATATCTAATAGCGTATATTCATTGTCGCTATTCGGACAAGTCTTAGATTCATCTTTGTGCATCTGTCTATTTTCGGTGTGCTCATACCTGTATTTCAAATTTCTCGCATACATCATGCCCAAGTGTTTCACAATCAAATTTTAGATGGCCAGATGGCAGCCATTTTAGTGCTCATACTGTATCAAATTTTAAATGACCAGATGGCAGCCATTTTAGTGCTTATACTGTATCAAATTTTTAGATGGCCAGATGGCAGCCATTTTAGTGCTTATACTGTATCAAATTTTAGATGGCCAGATGGCAGCCATTTTAGTGCTTATACTGTATCAAATTTTAGATGGCCAGATTGCAGCCATTTTAGTGCTTATACTGTATCAAATTCACGAATTTCTGCAATTCTGGAAGTAGATCTTATGTGTGCATAGATATATAATTTTATTTAAACATGGTACATGTATGTAGAAAATAATGGTATCTTGATGCACATCATTTTGCTTTATAAATTTTGTTACTGAGCAAGCTTGTCTTACCCCGGTAGTCAATGTCACAATTCTAAAATTACTTAACTGGCCCTTTTGTTTTTTTAACAAGGACTGTAATGTCAATTAATGATACAACAACTGCATATATTAAATAAGATCAATTATAATTGATATCATACTTATAGCTTTCCTTTTCTGCAGGGAAGTCTTGGCAAGTCCTGAGATACTTGATATGCCAGAAAGAGCCGACTGGAAAGCATGTTCAGTTAGCAAAGAAGCGGAAGCAAGCATGGCAGCGGATTTCAGAGACAAATTCAAAGCATTTGACTTTAATTTAATGTAACTGTGCAATTAGAAAAAAAGAAAGTTTATCATGTTGTTGTTTGATGATTAATTGGTAATCACAACTTGTCTATCCGGTTAATTCCTACTGGATTGACTTTATACTTGCCAAATTTCCAGAGTACACTTCCTGTCCCAAATCATCATAATTTGATGATCAGACACTTAACAAACTATGGACAGCGCCCCCAATGGCCATAGTTGCAAGATGCCTCTTTATTTTATGCAAGTGCATATTTTTAAACACAGAATCTTTTATGGACTATTTTAACCTCAATGACATAATAAACGATTTCTTACAAAACAGAGATACATGTGTGCTATTTATTGTGTACTGGATGGATACAGAAATTTGAACAATAAATGGATGTCCCACTGACTCAAATGTGACTTTACCATCTAAATAAAATTGGCCCTGGATTATGCATAAAGATTCTTGAGAATCATTTAATCCGCACATGAGAGATATGTGGGTCTTGTATAAACAAAGATGGCTACTTTAACTTTTGTGCAGATCAACGAGTACAAACTGAGATGTTACCAAGCTTTAATTATGTATTTTTTAGGTGTTTGGAAGGAGTCGTTGGCGGTAATTAATGCAAGCCGCACCCAGGTCAAACTCATACTTGTGATTTCCTTTAGAAGAGCGCATTGGATTGCGAGAAAATCAATGTTTATCGACACAAATGCCACACGTGCACAGCGCGATGGACCACCGTCCTTTAAGGAAGCAAGAATCGTGTGATGACATTTTTGAATAGAGTCCTCTGTTATCGCATGAAAAAACCTTAATTTTACGATATCTTGTTGAAAGCCTGGATATACATATGGAGGAACTCATTTGAAACATGCAAGGTGTCCATTTGTTTATATGACAAACTACGGGTAATTGTTGCCCAAAATGACTAAACCCATAATTCCCAGATAACATTGCAGTATTTCTGGCTGAAACTTGTGGGATATATCAATCCATGTAAATGTGTTAAGACTGTTTCAAGAACCTGTATTTTCAAATATTTGCAGAGAAGTCTTTTCAAGCCCAGAATTTCACTTATAGTTAACGCATTACTTCGTGCTGAAGGATCATCTTTCAAAACTTAGATATGCACTTCTCTCATTGTCTTGTGAATCATTGGTGTAAATTTGGAACATAAGGTAGCGGTAATAACATAGTTGATTGGATGGGGTATTAGTGACATAATTACAGTAGCTTTTATTATTCAAATTACAATATATATCTGGTTCGATTGACCAGTGCTACTGTAGAACATGTTAAATGGTACATGTTGCCAGTGGTATTGGCATGTAAATATACCAATCTAGGGATAATCCATTTCTGATATATAATTCACATGATATGGCATGACTACAATGTGCGATTAACAACTTGTACTATGACAGTCTTACGAAACGTGGAATAAATGTTCACATTGCTTCGACCCATTACCGTTACATTTGTATAAACACAAATAAATTTATTCATTGCATTGCACGTTGTGCATATCGCCTGAAACCAAAATTGTGGTTGTTACTAATCTGTGTGTGACAAAAACCGTGGCTGATTACAAATCTACATGGAGACAAACGACTAAAAGTTATATCCCTATTGGTCATGCCACCTATTGTTCTGGCTGTTGGTTTATTTCTGTGAAACTATTATTATGCAATTTCTACAGTTGTAATCATATGCCAAGTGTAATTGCGATGGATGACTTATAGCAGTTTGAGCCAAATTCAAATATTGCTTTACTAAGCATGTTACTCCACATACTCCATATACAATGCTTTGTGGGAGAAAACTTCCCATTGTATACACTGGAAGACTATTACCACTCTGGAAAATCACTAAAGCAGACAAAACCATAACATTATTATTAGCTTGCAAATAACCATGACTCAAGGCACAAATGTTATACAATACACCAGTTATCCCAGTGTCTGGAGCAGGTACATGTATAGGAGATTATGGATCTTCTCTGAGATCTTCTCCGAATAAAGGAACTTGTCTTGAAATACCAATATGTATGGAATACACCATCTTGGAATGAAATTGAAGACAATTCTACACAAAAAACACCAGTTTTAAATATTAAATATTTTATTCTATTAATACCATTGCCAATACAAAGCAAGTACTAAAGTAGCATCAACAATCGTTCTGAACTGCTTATGAATAGACTACTATAGCAAAATTCAAGAAAACTTACAGAGGGACTCGTTTCTAGATGAAAAAAAAAATAATCTGACCATTATATGATGTACATGTATTTTAAAATTTGAGTTTGATTTTTAATCAGGGTCATTAAACAAATTGTAATCAGTTTATACATTTGTATTTCGGTGATCCACTAAAGTTGAGAAATTAGAGCAGTTTACAGTACGGATAAATAGCTAATCAATACATTTCAAACATAACCTGTGGAAATTCTGTGAGAAAAAGCTCAATGGATGATGATCATCAGAGTGAGACTAAATTAAGTCAAACATTAACACAACAATACTTGCTAAAACAAACTTTGTCTCAGTTAAATTCTACAAAGATTTGACATTTGGGTTTGGTTGTGGAAGTCTGTGTTTGCACATTGCAGAATCTATATCATAGTATGAGAACTCGTTATAGCTGAAATACTCTTTCACTTGGTATTGGTCATTTCTGTCCACTGCTACTGGCTTAGGAGGATCTGCAAGGGAAGCACAATGATATCAATTTTGAATGAATTTTAAGTTGAGTGTAAAAAGCCTACATGTACTGCCACCAGTACAACATGGCAACGACAAATAGACTTGAATAAAACTTATTACACTATACAATGAAGAAAAAACATCAAGAGTATTGTGGCTAATTTGCATATTGATTAGCATATAAAGGCAACATCTGGTCAAGTCAATGTAGAAGTATACAAGGCTGTAGGACAAGGGTAAAAATATCAATCATCAATCAAAATAAAAAAACAAAAACATAGATGTCCACATGAAAATACAGCTTTTTGTGTTTAGCCCTATAAATGCACAGTAAAGCTGAATGTTTTTACATTTCTAGTAGCAATGTCATGTTAACAACTGCTCAAAAGACTTTGTTTTAGATGACATGATAATACTACATTGGACTATGTAATGGTTACATTTCTTTATTTAATTTCATGGCTTGCCCAGATATAAAAACTGTTTGTCCCATGACAAAATTGGTTGTCTAAGTCGGTTACCAATTGTTATCCCTATCGCACATTATACCGGTATGTGCAAACTCTTATTTTACTGAGTGAGATCCACAAAGTATCTTGATGTAATAAACCCACACCTACATACGTTTGTAAATTTTAGCCGAGAGAAGTGGAAGTCAGTTTTACCTGGAGGTTTGACAGTTGTAGCAGTCGGTGGCCTGGCTGCTGGTGCTTTAGTATCACTACCCTTGTTGCTGTATGCCACCACACAGTTCAGACTCTGCAGTAAAAAAGTGTGCTTATATAAGATAGTGATGATACATGTATATAATCTGAGTCAATATAAGTCAATGAAAAATTAAATGCAGTTGGGATTAACACATTTGATTTGCATTTGATCTGTTCCACCTAGACTGTCGACAGTTCTCAGGCCTGATAAAGAGTCACTTATTTTCAAATGCCGTAGACGTTTTAACAAAGGCTTGAGGACCATAAGGCTCGAGGGACTGTTATAGCATGTAACACCCTCATGCGCATTACATGGAAATTGTTCGGTGATGTTTCTGTTGAGACTTGACACTCAAACTACTACTACTACTATTCGCTCATGATTGGTTGATTGGTGTATGACTTAGTTTGAGTGACAAGTCTCAAGCAGGAACGTCACCAGGCAATTTTCAAGTAATGCCGCATGAGGACTAGTATCTTTACAGTTTTTATTGTATTTCTGGAAAAATAAACTTCATTCATATGGAATTTGCCCAGATAACATGTAGGACTGATTGTGAATGCAGTGCATTATTGTGGCGTCAAACTGGCTGTCGTTCGAAATTGTATTGCAAAAGACACAATTTTAGAGGCTGCATTTTTCTAAGAAATGTTTCTAAGTTTTGTTGAGGGTTATTCTGTAATGATAT